CAGGAATGCACAGGAACGGAGTTCCGGCTGGCTCCCAAGTTGGCCACGCCCAGCAGGAACTCATTAGCATAACAGGCCACACCCAACAGCAGAAACTCATTCGGATTGGCTACATTAGGGGTGTGTGGCCTAACATGCAAAGGAGTTCCTGCTACAGAAAAAGTCCTGGGTTTTGACAACAAACAGGGTAAACAGAATAAGAAGCAAGAGGTGGGTGTGGCTGGATGACCACACTTCTGGTAACATGGGGGTGCGGCCTAATGTGCTAATGAGCTGTGCTGGCAGGGGTGTGGCCTAATATGCTAATGAGTTCCTGCTGTTTGGTGTGGCCTATTATGCTAATGAGTTCCTGCTGGGCTTTTTCTACAAAAAGAGCCCTGGCGGGTAGTGTTAGAAAAGAGCAAGAGTCCAGGAGCACCTTAAACCAGAACAAAATTGGTGGCAGGGGAGGCGCTTTCATGAGTCACTGCTCACTTCTTCAGATATCTGAATGGTTAAATGTGGTGCCTTCTATGGAGATGGGTAGCTGTGTTAGTCTGACTGTAGCATTAGAAAAGAGCAAGAGTCCGGCAGCACCTTAAAGACGAACAAAATTAGTTCCAGGGGAACTAATTTCTATAGTCTGGAGAACATTTGTAATCCTAGAAAGTCTCCAGGCCCCACTTGGAAGTTGACAACTCTAACCTGCCTCCCAAGGAACCACTGACTGTGAGAAGACAACACCAGAGAAAGCGGATTGACTGAACAGCGTACAGTCAGATATGTTTTTGGAATGACACAAAAGGATACTGTTGGAGCTTTTGTCTCTGGCTCATGGAATTGGTCTTCGCGATGATCTTCCCTAGGCCCGAAACCCAGTGGTTCGCGTCCACCTCAGAGCTGGCTATGAGGTCCAGGTTCTTCCTCTGGTCTTTGAAGATGATGGAAAAGCAGCGATGTTCGGGAACATCCTTGGCGTATTTTTCCATCCCTTCCGTCTTATGGCCCGCCCTCACATCCTGGATATCCTCTATGGAGACTGTAGAAACAAACAAGACGCAGGCTATCAGGAGTCCGTTAGGCACCAAACTTATCTCTGCTCGGCAGCAGATATCACAAAAATAACATTTTCCCCACCGCTGTGGCCTTTCCCCACAGTATCTTTGCAGGTGTCTGGCAAATGCCCTCTGAAGCTCTTGTGGTGTTCTTGGGTCACCCCACTGCCTCACAGCCAGATTTACCTCACGACTTTTTGTGAGGAGAAATTGGGATGGCTCCCCATTAACTCCACGGAAGGAGGGTGGAACAGGGAAATCACAGTGAGAATTTGATTCGTTGCTTGTTTATAAACCTGCATCTCCTCTCCAAAGTTTCTGGAAAAGATGTGTGCCACGTGCCAAGGAAATCTGGTAGATTAATGCATCTACTAAATGAAGGAACTGGAAGTTTGTGAGTTCTTGTGCTTTAAAAGGGTGTGGACAAATATATGGAAGACAGGACTCTCAATCAGGGCTCCCAAGTACCTACCTACGATCTGGTGGGGGATGTATAGTTCTTCGCGGGACCATTCCCGTGGGGAAAACACAGGTGCTGCACTATTCCGTCGCCCAGACGTGACATAGGCACATAGCCGGGCGACGCTCTAGCAATGGGGCTGGAAACTCAATGGTACTATCGAGTTTCCTGTCCCATTACCAGAGCGTCGCCCAGCTACGTGCCTACGTCACGTCTGGGCGACAGAATAGTGCAGCGCCTGTGCTCCAAGCAAGAATCTTCCGGTGGGGAAGCATGTGTCCCCCGCCGGATCGTAGGTAGGTACTTGGGAATCCTACTCTCAGTGGCTTAGCCAAGGCTGCTAAATGGGACATCTGATGGTCAAATGTTCAGAAGCATTCAGTAGGGGAGGACATTTGCCATCTGCCCCTGCTTGTTGGCACTCGACTAGCCTTCATAGGAAACAGGATCCTGGTCTAGATTAGGCCTGCCAGTGCCCCAGTTGTGGTATGGGATCCCCTACCCACAAAGTCCATTTTCCACTGCCGCTCTAAGCAGTGGTGGGGGAAATTTTGTTAAAATGGTGACGTCGACTGCCTCACTATGTGACTTCTAGGAAAAAAAACCCAAAGTGACAGAAGGTAGCTGTAGGAATTGCCAGGAACTCTACGGATTTACCACAGGGTTATAGAGCTGCAGTGGCTCAAGTGGTTAAGACGCTGAACTGCAGGTTGTGGAAGGTCGGTAGTTCAGCAGTTCAAGACCCGGGTGCCGCAAGACGGAGTGGGCTCCCGTCTCTAGTTCCAGCTCCTGCCAACCTAGCAGTTCGAAAGCAAGAAATTGCAAGTAGATGAATAGGTACCACTTCGGTGGGAAGGTAACAGCATTCCGTGCGCCTTGGTGTTTAGTCATGCCGGCCACATGACCACGGAAACGTCTTCGGACAGCGCTGGCTCTTCGGCTTTGAAACGGAGATGAGCACCGCAACCCTAGAGTCGGATTCGACTGGCTTTCGAGCAAGGGAACCTTTACCTTTACCTTTATAATGTTACAAGACAAATGTGGACAATCACGACCGGATCAAAGAACAAAAGAAGACAGTTGTGAGAGTCTGACCCACAAATCAGGCAGTCAACAAGACTTGCAAAGAAAAGAAAGCATAATATACAGACAATAACATACAGAAAGCATTTTCTTTGCAAGTCTTGTTGACTGCCTGATTTGTGGGTCAGACTCTCACGACTGTCTTCTTTACATTTGTTCTTTCACCACAGGTTTGCCAGGTTTGGGTTCCACGATCTCCTGGGTCTCCAGCCTGGGTTCGTGGATCTTCTGGTGCGCAATGACCTCACTCAGAAGTGACGCCATTTGCCGGGCATGTCGTGCGGGGGACACTCTATAATTTGGCCAAAAACTCTATGGTCACCATAGAGCTTTTAGCCAAATGCTAGACCGTCCCCCACACGACATGCCCAGTGGGATAACATCACCTCTGGGCGACATCATCGCACCGGGCACATCGGGTGCAACAGGGCTCTTTGGGGGGCAGGGCTTCCCCCACTGGCCAGCTGGCCGGCCACAGGTTGGGGGCCCCAAAAGCGGGGGAACCCCTACCCCCATCAGGGGGACCTATTTTACCATAGAGTTTCCAGCAATTCCTACAGCAACCGGATTCTTCCCAGAAGTAATGCACAGATGCAGCTGACATTCTATGTCCCCATTATCCCCGCCCCCAATCTTCCCGCCAATTGCCAGGCAAACCTAGACTAGATGCCCCACTGGGCTGATGCAACAGGGCTGTTCTTAGTTTCTGATGGCACTTGAGTAAGCAATTGGAATTCTTTCGCTGGTACCTGCCCGCCTTAAAGCTTATGAGAACCATTTGCCAGCCCTTACAGAGACAGCTGGCTCTCCCAGGATGCACAAATGCAGTCCCCATTATCCCCGCCCCCAGTTCTCCCACCAATCGCCAGGCAAACCTAGACTAGATGTGCCACTGGGCTGATGCAACAGGGCTGTTCTTAGTTTCTGATAGTACTTCAGTAAGCAATTGGAATTCTTTCGCTGGTACCTGCCCGCCTTAAAGCTTATGAGAACCATTTGCCAGCCCGTACAGAGGCAGCTGGCTGTCCCAGGCTCCCCCCCCCCCCGTAACATTTCCCTCCTCATTGCAAATGCTGACAGAATAAGATGACAGCAATAGAAGGCAGGATTATATAAGAACAGCATTTTCTACGCCCAGCAGATCAAAGAGGCTCATCTGGCCCATTAGGCATTCAGCTCAGAGCTTGTTCTGCATTCATCCATAAAACCTCAGTGCCACA